TCTGGCTTTATTCTTATTATCTAACCTTTTTTTTTTCTTCTTTTGTTTCCTTTCAGGTTCTGGATATGCTGCATCAATTTCTTCTAATGATGTGTATTTTGATTTTAGCATTTTTGTTTAAAATTTTAAATTTTTGGTAAATTAAATATAAGACAATTGGTAAAATTGTTTATTAAGAAAGAAATAGAAACGATTTTAATGTATTTTTTTTTTATTTTTTGATTTGTAATACATAATTTGTAATATATTACAAAAAAAAAAAATAATAATTAATATTTACACATAATTGCATATGTGCATACATGATATGCATGTATAAAAAATTGAATTTTTTTTTGTATTGTTTTATTTTTAAATTAACTAAAAAAAAAATTATTTTTAATTATTTTTATTTTTAATTTATTTTATTTTTGGATGGAGGTGTTGAATTTCAGGGTGATGTTATTATATTAATAAATAAATATGATTTCAATATTCTAATAGCTAATTCTAAAGAAAGTATGGGAATTATTGAAAGGTTTAATAAGACATTACAAGAATGGTTATCTATTATTCAAGATGCTATTAATATGAGATTACCTGTATCAGAATGTTGTTGAGCTTAGATTAGAAATCTTCTAATATTTCTTGAGAATCTTAATAATTATATGATTTGTTTTTTAGATATTTCTCCTGCTAATGCGCGAAAACTGAAGTATGTTTATGCAAAATCTTCTAATCTTTGAAATAGGCCTATAGGGTTTGATGAGAAACAATTAACTTATGATGTTCTTATAAGATATTTACTTAAACCAGATGAGTTAAATGATGGAAAAAAATGTGCTAGAGATATGAATTGGTCTCTTCAAATCTATCATATCTGTGAATCTTTAATGCAAAAAAATCAGCCAGTCTTATATTGGTTGGAAGATGATAAATGTAATAGCCTGAAAAGATCTTTTGTAAGAGAAAATTTGATGGTTATTAAAGAAGCTCAGCTATTACCTCTATAGGTGCTTACATGATAAGGAAATCCTCAAGTATTTTATCAGCTTGTTCTTCTATAATAAAATAATCATTAGCTAACTTATAGTATAACCCATAAAGTTCTATAACAGCATTAAGAATTTTTAAATCTTTATCATAATAATATTTATAATCACTAATAACTTGCTTATATTTGACTTCTGTTGGAAATAGTCTTTTCGCATTTTCTAAGATATATGATTTGGAATCTTCTATTTGACGTAATTCTAGAATACGCTTTTTATAATTCTGTATAAACTTACCATCTTTTGGTCTCTCACAGAGAATTCCTGCCTTAAGCACTTTGATTAAAGCCTTTTTGGCTTTCTGAGAAGTGGGTTTAACTTCTTGGATTTGCTTGTTTTCAGATAATTAAATTTGTGTGCTCATTATGAAAGTGTTTATATTATTATATTGTATAAAGATTTGTTTAATTAAAATTATTTATATATATATATATATATATATTAAGAAAATGAAAGTGGATTTTATTTGTAATTATCTTCATAATTCTAGTAAGACTTATAGTAAAGCTTGTACTTAATCTAAAAGTTGTCTATTGCATTACAAAGCTAAAAGGCACTAGCCTTGCATGGAATCAGAATGTGATAAGCCTACTGAATTATCTTGTGATCATTGTCATCTTTATACTAGGGGATATTATATGATTCAATGTGTTAATAGACTTTGGGATAAGATTCCAATGTTGATATGTGTTCAAGAGGTTAGACCTTCCCTTATACCTTGGTACTCCAAGAGATATCTAACTCTATTTGCTTGCTTAATTACTATCCTGTCAATTTATCTAGATAGCTTTTCTTTTTTTAAATATATATAAAAAAAAATAAGGTTAGATTTATTATATAGTTAGTCAAGAGGTTCGACTTTTTTTTGCGATTAGATTTAACATATAGGTAGTCGAAAGTGTAATTTTTTTGTCTTAGGATTTTATAAAGGAAATAGCTTTAGAATAGTTTTCTATATATTAATAAATTGATAATATGCTGAAACATAATCATTAAGCTTTTGATTTGCAAACTAAATAACCACTAAATCAAACCTTTAAGAAGTTAGACTTACCATATAATATGTCATTTTAGGCTTGCATGATCAGACTTACTCAAATTACGTCACTTTGTTCCTTAATTTTCAATGATCCCTCTGAAGGTGAGCAGAATAGTATAAAAGTTATTATTCATATTGGGTTTGCAATATTAGGCTAAACGTCACTTCATTTCTTGATTAATGATGACCCCTTCAGAGGCAAACAGAATAGTAAAAGTTTTTTGTTATATTATTTGGGATTAAAATTAGGCTAGAATGGCTTTATCAAGCAGTGTAATTCTTGGTATCAGATAGGCTAATTTCTAGCCAAATTTGATATCATCATTTAGATTTGAGTCAAAATGGGCTAGAGGCTAGAATTTGATAATTGATTCATATAGCTAAAATGGATTTGTGGGCAAACAGGAATTTTTCTGAGCACTATTTAGAATTTTGTCCTAGAACCTTTTTTTTTGTTGTAGTGAAGATTAATCTCTATAATTCCTTGAATTTGACATTTTTGTTTAATAAAAATAAAATACAAATTTATTAGTTTTGTTAAAATATAAAATTAAAAGGAACTAATAACTTTAATTCATCTATTAAATAGACTTTTTTTTTCTTTTTTACAGCTTTTATAAATGTAAAGATAATTTTTTTAATCAATCTGTTTTTCGAATATTTATTTACTTATTTAGAAAAGATTAAAATGATGCAATTATAGAACACAATTTAATTATTTTAATAAAATTGGGAATTGATGATTGTTAATTTAGTATAGTAATACAGATATTTTAAGTTTGATTAACACTTCAGATGCTCTAACAGCTCTAATTATCTAGTTCGTATTAACTTCATAAAACTGTATTAGTATATATTTTCTTATTTGCGATAATAAATTATTAATGGTTTTATATAAAATAACTGAAATAAACATTTTCAAAAGAGGAAAAAATTTCCCAGAAAGTAAGACTTTATTAAAATAAACTTTACCATTTTTAAAAAGAAAATATCTTTTAAGAATTATTCTCTTGAATATCAACCAAACTTAAAGAAATTAAACAAAAAAATAATGCTAATTTTTAATAGAATTCTCTTCTATATATGGATATGATAGTAAAATCAATCAAATTCACGAGTCACATTGCTCAAACATTCTACAATCCTGCATTAAAAATATTTCATTTTGCATACACAATTATATATGTTAAAAATATGAGAGTAAATCTTCTTCTGCTATTAATGCATTTGATGTAGAAAACATAAAATTTTACTTTTATACAAATTGAAAAAGACTTGTTAATTCAATCTTTTTCATGAAGCATTGTCAGTACATTTTACTTGATAAAATCAAATCTTATGTCTTTCTTAGAGTAAAATCTTTATTTTTCATGCTTTATAATACATAAGTAATATGAAGTAAAAGCTATATAATATGAGAAAAACAACTATAAAGTTTTCCAACTACTTATTATTTTTTTTATATATAACCTTTATTCTTCATCTTTTAATATAGGATTGATTTGGCATTTAAACCTTAAACCTTTTGCTCAATATTTATAATGGAAGAATCCATTTTCTTGACTGTTAATCTTCATTAGAATTCTTATCTTAAGTTTTGTAATCTTGGTATTTACATTTGTTGTATATTTCATCTGGTACAAAGTAAATTTAGATCTTGGCATTTTGATCACTTATATGTTGATTATTACTCAGCTTGTTTTATAGGGTAATCTTCAGTTGCAAAATCAATTTGATGCTACAAATAAGTTTATCACACCAAAATTTTATTTTATTTGGCACAATTACTATGTTTCTTTCAAAGTTAAGAAATCAGGTAAAGTTTTTATTTTAAATTATATTTATTAAGATACAATGTATTATAATAAAGAATTATATATGGACGAATAGAATATTTCTTTGTATATAGTTGATAAAATATACATGTTAGCTTATATACAATGGGCTGAAAATGATAATATTAATATATATTATGTTAAAACCTTTCAGAGATTTGGTAGCTATAATTTTATTGAAGTTTAATATATTAATAGATGTGTTGGATTCATACGAATTAATAATTATTTTGTTATTTTTGATAAAAATTTTTAATAAATATTAAAATATATATATATTATATATAAAACTATAATAATATTTTTATATATAAAAATTGTAAAATATTTGTATATCTTACTATATAAAATCTGTACAATATAGTTTTTAAACAAAAATTCTGTATAAATTTGTATGCTTCAATTCTCAAAATTAATTTTTTTATAATTTTTGTATGTTTTGACTTTTAAAAGTTCTATGTATGGTTATTTTCGTAGGAAAATTTGCAATAACTGTAAATAAATGTATGAATTCTTGTACAAAAACTGTATGAAAAATGAATGCGTTGTCGCCGATCATCCAAAGACTTTTGCACCAGACTGTAACTTTTGCGATACTTTTTATTTATAATGCAGACATCATAATAAAAATTTCGATTCATTTGACCATGAAACAACTTAATACAGAAATATTTAACAGCTTATTCAAAATTATGTATGTGTTTATCTAATTATGAAAATTCGTGTTATCTGTCACGTAACAAAAGAAAATTTTCAGTTCAAGTTTATTAGCAAAACTAATATCAAAATTTATTGTAGATTTCACTTTTTTGATTTTTTTAAGATTACCGGCGACAGAATTAAATAGGTTACAACCTTTTTAGTTTTCATAATTATGAGAATTACACTCAAACAGTGTAATGAGTCTAGATTATAAATGAATGTTAAACGAACGAAATTTTTAATCATAAATCTTAAATCATAATTGCACATTTACATACAAAAATACTTTAATTTAATAATAAATGTAATTGGGGAAGTATGGAGCAACTAATGTTTTAGTGAAAATAAAAATAATTTAGGAAAAAAAATAAAAATGTAATCAATCGACCTTTTTTAGTTTTGGTTATAAAAGATGGAAATGATGATGTCATCATCATTATTTAAAAATTCTTCCGAAGGACATTCGGTGAGAAAACAATCTTTTTTCAATTTGGTTGATAGATCTTTATTAACAGAATTGGAAATGGCAATCGAGTTTCGGTATTCGTTCTCATTTGCGATCGGAGAAGTAGAGACCTTGTTTTGCAACTCCTTATCACGACTCATTTGATAATTCCTTTTCCATTTCATTTTTTCATGATCTGATAGATTTTTCCATTCTTTTGAAACAAATTTACTGAATTCAGTCATTGATACATTAGGTCGTCTATGTTTCATCATTTCTCTACGATATAGTAAAAACATATTAGGTTCCTTCTTCATTTCGAACTTTCACGTTTAAAAAAACGAAAATGATTAAACGTGATTTATGTTAGAGTTTACAGGTGGCAAGTTTTGCTGCAAAAAACCAATGATGCAAATTTAACGAGAAATTTTTTTTTGAGTATTTTGATATTTAATATAAGGTTCGTTGACTTTCTACATATTTATAATCTTAGCGGAGTAGTTTTTAAAAGTTCCGATTACGAGCCTATTATCGTTTAATATTGCAAAGAAAAAAATGGTTTGACATCTTATGCATACTATAGATGACTATTTGCCAATTCACAATAAACGACCGTTAAATGATTATGTTAGAATTTTAATTAAAACATATTTACCTAGGGGATCATGTTTGTTGACGGAATGTTCATCCATTATGGAAATTTTCGGTAATAAAGAATCATGATCCCGGAATGAATGAATTTTTCTTTGTTGAAAATTTCCATTATACCATTATATTCTTTTTTTGGTTTTTAAATATTTGATCTACAACCGACATACAAAAAATTTAACCGGATTTGTGCTTGTATCAAAATCAAAAAATCTGATTGGTGAAATTTAAAATAATTTTTGCGATAATCAAATAATTATCTTTTTTCCAAGGTATTTTCCATTTCGAAAATTCCCTTTTTAAAAAAAATTTTTTTTTTTACTAATAATTAATATGTCACGTTAAGAATTCCTGGAAAAACCTTGAGGTTTCGACAGGTGGCAAAATTAAAATTTATTTTGTCGTTTTTAATAGTAAATTTCAATTGCCTTAAAATAGAAATCCTTTCGGCACATGCTAAAAAGCATTAAGTTTGCAAATTTAGTATATTAAAACCTTTTAAATCACAAATCAACAAAATATTTGAAAACCATCCATCGAAATCTAACGAAAATCGTTGAAATCGATGAAATTGTCGAAACTGTCGAAATTCATCGAAACTGTCTAAATTATTTTTGAAAAGTTTTGACTTTTGTCAAATAGGATTAGGGTTTAACCTGCAGACTTATCTCATAATGAAAACTAGTAGATCTATACCAAAACAACATTGCATCCTCAACTCATCACTCGTTTGGATTCGCACTCATACACCTATAAGCTAATTTCTTATAAAATGAACATTCAGCCAAAATTACACCAAAACTGTAGATATCAGAAGCAAAAGTATATGGTTCTCCATTCAAGTCTTTTGGAGCGATATATGGTAATACTCCATACATTTGATCATCTGATTTTGCTTATCTGCTGGTCCAGTTAATACAAAATCTGAAATATAATAATAAAAACTTGCAAGATATTTCCACTATGAAAAACCTTATGACAATGTCCTAAATCATGTAACGATTTAAGGTTACGAATTCATAATTTAATTTATCATTTTTTTTTCCATAAAATATTGTTAAAATTATTTGAAAAATAACTTCTCAAATTTCCGTCATAATAAATTCTTTAGCTTCTGGATCCTTAGTTTTTCCATAAAATCTAATGAAAATGAGTAGTTTTTATATATATATCCCAATGTGCAGTAAGCTAGTTTTTTAATAAAAAATTAAGAAAATTATAAATATTCTATTTAATAAATATCAAATGTAAATGTATAATACCTCATTAAAATATTTGGCTGACATATTTTGTGATCCATTTAACCTTTTCAAAGTAACCTTCATAGGTTTAGTATCTGATTTTTTCCAACTTCCATCATCTTGTTTTTTAAATTCCGATGTACCATCGATTCATGTTATGTTGCAGAATACACTTTGGCGAATCCTCCTTCACCGATTTCTTTATATCTGTAAATCTATCGAAAGGCATCCATTCAAGAAACCTTTTATAGTTTTTTTCTCGCACATCACACATAGTATCTTTGATGAATTTATCAATATCATAATTTCCACTAGTCCATCTTTTAATTATACACCGAGGTTCACATTCTTACACCATAATTTCTCTGTAATGTAAATGGACATTTATTATTTTCTGAGACATTTAATTTGTGGAATTCTTTTAATTTATCCATTATTTAAAAAAAATCTTCGAATAATTTGTAATTATTAAATCATTTTTCAATAGGGATATACTGTAAAAGGAATCAACGGAAAAAGACTCCGTGGAACAAATCAAATGTGATAATGCGGTATCATTAATTTTTGCCAAGCTCTATAAATATTATAACTTTAGCAGCATCAGATAAATTATCATTAGATACTTAATTCTAACAGCTAGTGTTAGCGTAAAGATGTTTGTGACGAAGGTGAATCATCAACTTAGATTATGGTGATTGATATGGCAATCGATGATGAGGTAGGTGGAAATAACAATGATGGTATATGGAGACATAGTGTAAAAATGTCATCATCTGGTGGGAAATGTGAAGATTAAGGTTAAATTGCAGAAGATGTCGAGGTAGATTGTAGCGCTGGAAGTAAGAATAAAATTTAACTAATGGTAGTTTTCATGAAGCTGGGATTAAGGAACCGGATTATTCTGGAATTAATATCCTTCGGATTAAACCGGATTTATTATATCAGGTTCCTTCGTTCTGATAAGTACAGTTTCAGACAAATATTATTAAAATAAAGTTTAGATGATAAATTTTTATGTTTTTAGATCGTATATTATCGGAAAATTCGTGATAAAGATTATCATTATGGTTTTTGTTGGTCCTTAATGGAATGGAATCTGAAATTCAAAGTCTCGCTGACAATTTGGATAATCTCTGTAATTTCTCTTATATATTATGTGGCAAAAAATGGTTCCTAATTTAATTGATAATAAAGAAATAAAGACTCGTGCATACTTGACCTTAAATTTCCCTTGTCCAGAATAATAAAAATTCAAAAAAAAGAGAGAGAAAATAAATGTATTAGTAAATGGAATCTTAATAAAAAAAATTTACAGGGAAGCACGGATATTTTAAATGATTTACAACTATCATAATTGATAATTTCCATCTACTATTATTTAAATTGTAACATGATGAAGATTCTATCTATTAAAAAGAACAAATTTTAAAATAATTTGATTAGATCAATTTTCCTAATAAAATTCACCGGGCTTTGAGTTCGATTAATAGAAGATTTTTCAATTAATAAGTACGTAAACATCGGTAGAGTCAATTGATGTTTCGCGATACTTGAATATTGAATTCAAAGTAATCACATCTTAATACCTTTTATCTGAAATAATAACAAATTTAATATATTGAAATTACGGCTAAAAATAATTGTCGTGCTCAAAGAAAAGGATTTATTTGGAAAATGAAACCATAGACATCAGCTCTTATTTTTTCAATATTTGGAATACTTCATAATCTTCAATTAAAAAATTATCCGATTCTCTTAATTTTTTTTCATAACTTTTTAACTTACAAGTGTTAAAATTATAATATGTATCATCACTAAAATAATTACTTAATAAAAGATCACTTTCACCAAACGCGGGACCTAACCAAATTCTGTACTGTAATGCATGATCCAAATCATTTACATGACTTAAAATTGAATCTTTAACGTTATCCTTATTTTTAAAAGAAAATATGAAACTACTTTTAGTATGACCATATCCATGATCGGATTTCCATACGGAAGGATTATATCCTCCAAGAATTTCTTTTGTTCCTTTTACTTTAATGAATGTGACTGTATACGGTCTATTATCACATAAAGAATGAAAATTTCTAGGAGTAAATCCATCTTGGCTTCCTCGTAATAATAATTTAAATTTATATGGTAAGTAAAATTCTCTTAAATAAGAAAATTTGTTTCCAATATCTACTTTATCGACCCATCTTGAGATTATTGAAACAATATTTAAATTAACGATATTCGAATCAATAATTCCATCAATATGTCTATACCTAGGGAGTAAGATACCATCACTTAATTCATGATCCGGAATCAAATAAGATGATAATAAATCCTCATAAAGTTGATAATTCAAAAGCTTTTTATATGGACGAACTTTTTGAAAGAAATCTTTTGACGACATACTAAAATATCTGATTAAAGGTAAACAACGTTTTAAAGTACTTTCCATCATTTTGAAACCATCGTCTGACCATGTCAAAGGATCCGGAACAAGCGTGGGATTTTTTTCAAGACCCCACCTTAATAAATGATCCCAAACTTCAACTTCCTTCATTTGTAAATCATCTCTTTTAATCAGAGAGACTAAAGACTTTTCAGGAATCGAAACAAAATCAAGTGATTCAAATACTTTTTCGGGTGATTTGGCTATAATTTCAGTACATAATTCTTGAAGTCTCGATAAAGAATTGGATTGAAAGCTTATCCTATAAGTAAGATCAAAATGTTGTTCAATACATTTAACTTTATTTTCAATTAAATAAGTTTGTAAATATTCAACTAATTCTTGAAGAAGAAGCTCATCAGCAGCTGACAACACCTTTAAAATCTCTGAAAATTCCTCATTCAAAGAAATGACCCCACCATAAATGTACCTACATCATAAAAATTTCTTTAAGTTATAGCAAAAAAGAGACGAAAATATCATAAATATAAACATGAGCTCACTTCAAAATAATATGAAAGGTTTCCAGTGAAATATTTGGTAATTTAATATGAGCTAGGGCACCGACATTATTCGTTCGATTGAAAGACAAAGTTCGTCGTAAATATGGAGAACGATAGCACAAAACATTTCTATGTGCACGAAATATTTTCACATTTGGATCCTCTCCAACTTCAATTGTAATGTCGTAATATTCATCATCATCTAATATTTCAATATAATTTTGACTTAATTTAGGAAAAAATTGTGCTGACATCATGAATTCTTTGAAAAGTGATAAATTTGGAGAATGAGTTAAAAAAAATGTTGATCGAAAATATCGTCATTTATCTCCGAACCAATCAGAATTTATAAAGATTACATCATTTCGCATTAAATAGTATGGTTTTAATTTTGATACTGCTACTGTTGTACAGTACAATAAATTACCTTTCATTTATTTAAATAATTTTATCTCCTATAGTATATACGAAAACTTTTCAAGATAATTTGTATAATATGTAAATTTTCATATTTATCAACAAAATTACCTTTATGTATCCATCCATTTAGATTTACCGTTTTGTTTGTTATTCATTATTCGTTATTTATTGAAACATAAAATTGAGAATTTGAAATTAATAAAAAGTATCATTTTGCAATAAATTAACGTTAATATCTCTTATGATATAGCCAAACTATGTAATGTACTCAGGACCGCTTAAGGAGAAATTCTCTTACGTACGTTATTAATTGTAGCGGCAGAGCAGATTTATCTATCAGTAATAAAATTTCAAGTTGGATTGAATGTCATTCCTTGGCCAATATTTAATTATGCCGCATGGTATATAAGACTTTATCAGAATTGTTTAGATGAGCATGAGACTAAATGTTGAAGCGTGCGAGAATTTTAACATAATTCAAAAGTAACATAACTAGCAACCTTTATATTATCTAAAATAAAAAATTGAACTTTTCATATTGACAGTCCATTCAAATGATACGTTTGAATATCAAAAAACTGCTAAACTTTATCGATTCAACATTTTTTTTTATCCACCATAAATTATGATTCTTTCCGACCCTAATGAGTCGGGACTATCACTTAAAACCCGTCTGGGCAGGGTCACGAAATTGTTTGACCCGGGTCGGGTGACCCGAACGATCAGGTGATGTGATTAATTATATAAATGATACAATTTAAATAATGAGCGAAACTATCAACCTTCTTTTGAAACTAAAAGCATTGTGAAGTGAGCTTTTTGCCAAAGAAATTGTTGAAGAAAATATACTTCCAACTGAACATAAAGATTCAAACACATTTTGTGGCGTCGCAATACGCAATATTGCTGATACAATACTAGAATAATCTTTTGATTTCATAATATTATCTAAAATATCCTTAAATTTTTAAGCTGATGCATTTGAATGATAATAATATAATCGTTTCATAAATACATGTAAACAATAATATTAGTTTTTTTTTCGTACCAAAAGAACTTACGGAAGTAAGAGCTTTTCCAAAATTATAAACGATGATTTAAAAAAAAAAAATTTTTTTTATAAATTACAGATTAGAAAAAATTAAGTGAAAGAATTTAACTCTATGCTGAACTTTGGTCGGAGTGTATTCATTGCCGCAAATAAAATTAGTAAAGAATGCATCGTTCTAGTCGAATAAGAATTTAAATTTCATTCCGCAATAAGTTTCTAAATGTTATTAAATGAGCTGAAATCAATATTTATTACTTTATTTAATAAATTTTTATTTTTTAATTTTCAAGTTTCATTTTAGTAAATTCCTTTTTTAAAAGAAATGTCCTGATTGTCTGAAATTTTTTTTAAAAGAAAAAAAATTAAAAATTAAAATAATTTACATTTTCTTTTTTAGAAAGTAATTCTTCAATCGAATTAGAATTCCAAAAAATTTTCTGGAACACGAACGTTCATTTCAAAGTTTTAATCGATAATAAAATCATCATTTTACTAGACTAGATGACGCCAACTTCATATAACAACTAGTTGGGCCGCCATTATCAGGGATATTTTATAACAGATTAAACATATTATTATATAATGTAACGTGCCCCAAATATGGATATTTCATTGCCTCCAAAATTTTAATTTTATCAGTGATGAATCATGATGACAAAAGGTCGTCATAAGATACTTTTTTTTAACAAAATGCGTAAGAATATATGCGAGTCAGATGCTCTATAAAAATGGAAAGGAATAAAGTAATAAATTTGACAAGTTTACGCAATCTCAGACTCCTCATGATGCAATGTATATGTAAAATAGTCACTTTGACATCAGGAAATAAATAATAAGAATTTCCTTCATCCAAAACGCAAGAATATTGATCTTTGCCAAGAATTCCGTAACAAATCCCTCCTAGGAAGGAAATTAGTTATAAAAAGGAGGATTATTCGCCTTGTATTTGCAATAGAATTGAATTAGATAGTTCTATTCACTTAAAGGTCTATTGCAGAGGCAGTAATAAAATTGTTCTATTTTTATTTCTTTTAATTGATCTATTTCCGTTACATTATACAATTGCTCTAAACTATATTAATTACCTACCTCTTTACAAAACTAAGAAGTGATACCTCATCTCTTAATTTCTTAAAATCAGTACTATTTCTCTCCTGGTTGGCATGCATGCTGTAGCGTACCTGCTAAAAGGTCATTATGACCATTTTTTAGAATTTTCATAAATAGAATTTATTTCTTTTTGCATTTATATGTCAAAAATGAACTCATTAAATTATTAATTAGCTTTAAAGTATTTTCTATTATGAACTGTCGGTAATATAATTAAACATGAAAAATAATATAATAAATGGACAATTAAAAACTTATAAACATTTATAATATGACAGATTTCAAGCACTAAAAAAAAAAATTATAATTTTTTTTTTGATTAATCGATCGCATACATATACTGTATATGAATACTTGTTCCAAAATATTCGATTGTGGTACGTTGCATAATTTCAAATATATCAATCGGACTAGAAATTGAACCGTTCAAATGTGGTTTCCCCAACTATCTCTCGGGACAAAGCGTAATTGAAAGCAGGATTTGCTAATTTTCAATAAGTTAGACATTTCTATGAATAATTAATTCCTTTAAAAATTTAAATCATCTTAAACATTGAATGTTTCATGTTAAATTTATACATAAATTTCCATTCGAAAAATATTAAACATCACCGAAAGCTCCTCCGGAAGTCATACTAATTTTTGGTGGATCATCGTCTATAAAAAAAATAATTGATCATTAAATGGAAGAAATTTAAGAATTAATTTTGCAAAATTTTATATATATAAATTTGCAAAAAATCTTTAAGATACACAGGATTAAGGATTATTGATATTTATAGCTGTTTGACCAATAAGGCGATTCTATGAAAAGAACATTGCATAGTAAATAATTATTCAATAAAAATACAAAATTGAATGTATGTAATTTGACAAACCAAATAAATATCACAATCGTCTGAATATTTTGTAATCGTCTCTTCAATTTCGTCATGATGCTTTTGTCTTAATAACGGCAATAATGTAGGCCAGATGGAATAACTTCAATTTCTTTTGGTAATTAATTTCGACCATGAATGAAATAAGTGAAAAAGCAAATAATGATAATGGAAATAATCATTTTTGATAACATAAAAAAATATATATTCCATCCAGGTATTCTGGGGTATTCTAAATCCGGATCAACCCTATTTTTCGGAATCATAGTTAAAATTATTTACCGACTCAAAATTATTATTTTTTTTGTCTCACTCATTTTTTGAATTATGATATACTATATAAAGAAGGATAACTAACATTTACTAAAATTTCGTTATCATTAGTTTTTTTCTTTTTTTTACTTTTTTAGATTAGTCAATCGCTATATCGGCATTCTGATCATCAGCGTACAACAAAAATAATTCGCCATGATAGCTAATCTAATGAGAGGGCAAAGAAATAAATTGATGCTGGCCTAGGATCCGCGTACTCTTACATTTCATTTGCTACTTCAACATTTTTCCTTAAGATTAATAAATTTCCGCAGTACATCAAAAATATAATTATTGGTCAGTATCACCATAAAATTTTAATTTATTTCGAAAATTATAAAAACATTGCAAGTAGCAAAAAGTCAGCATAAGCTAGTAAATATTTAATATTTGTGATAAAAATAGTAAAAGCAATATTTGAGGAAAAAATATGTAAAACGTGATCAAAGGTGTTAATGATTATAAATGTGCGAAAGAATGGGATAAGTTAAAAGAAATTAAAAAATCGTGCTATTTTTCTTGCTCTTATTTTTTTTTCTGTTCTTGTTTTTCTTGCTCTTTTGGACTTTTTTCTGGGCTTCACCAAGTTTCTGGGGTTTAAGATTATCCAAACGTCCAGTGTTAATAATATGTGTAGTAAGTTCAGATTCAATATCTGAAAGAGAAGATTAGTTACTATACAATGTTATTTTAAAATACAATCAAGATTTGTACACATACAATACTCAAATTCATGAACAATCCCATTATCATCAACATCCCATACCGTCCCGTCAGAACGCTTTGTTGCCACCTCTTCTAAAGAATTTCCAAGAGGCCACAATGCATCAGACATCCTATCTAACTCAAAAAAACGACCATAACAATCTATAAATATAATTCCATAGTTACGCTTCCCAACGAGTATAATATGGCTAAAGCCAAACTCCTGAACCTCGTCGAAATAAATGTCGTAACCCGATTTTGCATTCATACACTCGGTGAGTCTTGATACATCACAGAACCCTCGGTTAAGAGAAAGTGCGAGTTGGTGACGGTCGGACTCATTTGCAATAATTTCAATTACCATAGGTGAATTGTTGCAACGCCCGACTGTGCCACCCTCTGACACAGTATGCAAAGGTCTTTGGCTACCATCCCTTCCAATTCTATAGTACGGCTGTACAAATCGACATGATGTCCATTTTGTCCTCCCTTCAACGTTTCCCACGGCACCGACTCGGAGCAATTGCCAGGTGGGTGCAAGAATACAGCTGACTCCTTCTCTGTTAGGGCAAATTTCACCTTTCGAAATATCGTCATATTTTGAAACCTCCACTCTGCTATCATCTGTTTCATTTCTTTTAGCTTTGAACTCGTTAATTCTGGCGGTTTTGCTGGTGTTAAGGAAACAGAAGCCCCGGCCATGAATCTCTTTATTTTGTTGTCTTGTGTCGTATATGTAATGTTTATTGTACGTGGGCGGTATTTCTTTCTTGTTTCCACCTTCATGATATTTCTCCTTAAATCTACCAGCTTCCGTGTGAGATATTCCTTTTGCTTCTCGAGCGTCGCTCTCCTTATTGGAAGCTTTATATAGAAACTCCACAGTAGGCAACGTGCGTCCCAGCTCGTGTTTACAAGAATCGGCGGGAAGGGGCCACATAACACTAACCTCCCCTGGGCTGTTACTTCCCTTATTTTCTTTCCACTGACTATCTTGACATTGGTTGGTAGAGTACTGCATAAAATAAGTTGGTTAAAAAACACTCTTTTCTTTCTAAAACTAACTATCTAAATTACCTCAACGGTTTTAGGAAATCTTTCACAAGTTGTTTCATCCATTTTTTTGGAGGGTTGTTCAACCAAGTAGAAAAACTTATTATTAGTGAAAATCAGGTTATTAGCACAACACAAACCGAAGCTTTTGATGGGTATCGTTTTGTATTTTATTTAAAGAAAAAATTTAAAAAGAAGCGAAGCAAAAAATTAACTAAATATCGGTTGGTGAGCTTACTTTCTTTTTCTGGGAACCATAAAAATATCGAACAAAAAAAAATATATAATATTCCGTTAATTCTTTCAATAAGAAAGTAAGGATTTGAGTAAACACTTTATAGAAAGAAACCCATAATTACATCACGAGAAATTTCGAGAATTATTTTGCATGAAGATATTGACTATGTATTATCAAAACTTTCGCGCGTGACGCCACAAGTCATATGACGTTGTGACGGGTGAATGATAATGATGTTTAAATGCTGTGTGACTGACTCAACTATCTTAGTACTAAGTCATGAGAGAATCGCCGAGTTCTGATCTGTATAAGTTGATAAACTCACTGTAACTCACTCACTGAAAACGATATAAATCAAAAAATTACTGCAAATCGTTATAAACCGTCTAAACGATGGAATTTAAAAAGTATTGCCTACTTTAAGCTTTGATGAAACATTAGTTCTTTAGGTGATAATGAAATACCAGAAATGTGGCACCTACTTTTCTACTTTTTTTTAAATCACCAAATTAAGTGCAAAAGCTATCGGAACAAAATTTTTTTAAGTCAACAACGAATTACTACTATTTTTCCTTTCAAAAAACATTTCTTTATATTTTCAACATTTTTTAAATTGCTAACTTATAAACAAAAAATAGGAAAAGAAAGCAGAAAAGTTTTAAACAATTACGTTATAAATAGAGACAATAGAATTACTGCACCAACAAATATGACAGCAATAGAAGCTACCAACATATTGGTCAATGTTTGGTAAAAGTCGATGACAACGAGCGAACTTGTAAAATTTTACTTTAATTATTGAGATGAGTATTAGGATTCTTCAGATCCATGAACCATGCCAGGCCGAGATCAGCAGAGGATTCGTACTTTATTATGATACTAAAAAGTTGCTTACCTTTCTAAAGTTTCAAAACTTATTTCTATTATTTTAAAGATTATTTTATTGGTTGTAAACTGGTTAAAATATAATGTAATGCTTCAATACTCGTATAACTTTTTGTTAGTCACTTTTATCTCTATATTTTCTAATCAAAGTTCACTTTAAATACTGCTCTTAGATTGTGATTTGGCAAATTTTCATTATTCATTTTTAAGTAATATTAATTGATCACATTCCTTAACGGTTATCTCTAGAATATTTGATTTAACTTTATTGATTCAATAAAGTCAATTGTATAATTTATATTATATTATTTCTTACATGGAAGAAACAGGAGAAAATAATTTATGGCAAAATTATACTTGATTTAAACTTTCCTTACAAAAAGTAATTTTACGATAAATAAATTATCCCAAAAATTCTTGTTTTGAGCTTATCGAAACTGAATTTTTTATTTTATTTATGGGAAAATGTTATCTTGCAGTGATGTTTATGGCAATAATAATAATGGTGGCCCAAGTCTATAAATATAATCCTTCACTGGAAAACATTTTTTACTCATAAAGTAGTGTGTATCTCGTTGTCACAAAAACAAGACAATGGCACCAATATCCACAAAGACAACCGCAATCACTTTCATATAATGAGACGAGATTTTACTGCCAACTTCATATGGGAGCGTGAATTTGAGGCAATACCAAAATCAAACATTTTCAAAAAGAAAAAATTTTTTTTCTTAAGATTTACAGAATTTAGTGGACATGACATAAATCCAAATTAATGAAAGAATTTAAATTTTTGCTGAACTTTGGTCCGAGTGTATTCATTGCCGCAAATAAAAAAATGATTTAGCAAAGAATGGCATCGGTCTAGTCGGCTAAAATTTAGTTTTAAATTTATTTCATTCCGCGATAGGATTTTAACGTTATAAAAAGGTTAATAGATATTGCTTTATCTGATAAATATTAATTTTTTTTTATTTTCAAGTTTCAATTCTTATTTTTAGTAATTTACTTTTTTAAAAGAAAGTTCTTATTGTCTGAAATATATCGTAAAAGAAATTATAAATAAATTAAAAATTCTTTTTTATAAAGCAGTTCTACAATCGAATTAAATTCATCTGAGAACACGAACGTTAATTTAAAAGTTTTAACAGATGAAGCCTTGGCTTAATCTGCTCTGCATCACTATGGATATTTCATTGCTTCCAAAATTTTAATTTTATTAGTTAATGAATATTAATTCCAGAAGATTATTTTGATATGTTGAAATTTTAATTGGGAATTGAATCATGGTAAGAAGCGGTGTTAGCTGTAAAATTAACATCATCAAAATTGATCTACAAATTATTATTTGACAAATATGACAAATTGGTCATATTTGACTGATCTACCATATTTATCATATTTATCATATTTGTCCTATTTGTTATATTTATTAATTATATATTATTTGTTATATTTATCTTATTTATTATATCAGACATATTTATCTTATTATATTACTATTAGTTTATTTTATATAAATAGTATGTATTTGTTCTTGAGTTAAAGAATAACTTGAGATAGAGATTTGTAAATAAACTAAGAACTAACTAATTATCTTCAAATAATAAATATCAATAAAGATGATCTGACCCTTCAATTAATTAAATTCGTGTATATTTCTTTCATAGTTTTGACGTAATTAAACTTCCTGTTAGCAAATAAAAATTGTTAACTTAATGACGAACAGCTTAAGCTTAACAGCGGTCATCATAAACTACTTTTTTTTAACAAAAAGCATTGGAATAGATACGAGTGAGATTATCTTTAAAAATGTAAAGAAATAAAAAAAATGATAGATGAAATAGCATTACATAACTTTCTATAAGATTTTTAGCTATTTTCGCTTATTTTATTCATGATAGAAATAAATTACCAAAAGAAATTGAAGGTATTCCATCTGCTTCTAGATTATGACCATTATTCATCGTGATGAAATTGAATACAAATATTCAGACGTTTGTGATATTTGTTTGGTTGTCAAATTACATACATTCAATTTTGTATTTTCATTGAATAATTATTTACTATGCAATGTTCTTTTTCATAGATTCGCCTTATTGGTCAAACAGCTATAAATATCAATAATCTTAAAGATTTCTTTACAAATTTAGGTGAGCGTTTATGCAAAATCAATTCTTCCATTTAATTAATTGTTTTTTATATAGGAAAATCCAAAAATGAGCGAGTTTTTCAGTTATAGTATATTAATTTCAAATGGAAATTTATTTATAAATTAACATTGAATACTCAATATTCAAGATGATTTAAATTTTTAAAGGAATTAATCATTTCATAGAAATGTCTAACTGCAAATCCTGCTTTCAATAACGTTTTGTCCCCAGTAATTATTGGGAAACCAAATTTGAATTTTTCAATTTATAGTCTGATACAATTATGCAACGTATCACAATCGAATTATTGGAAAAATTGGCTTTCAGATACAATTTGGTAGTGCAAGTATATGCAATCGAATCTGTTTATTACTGAAAAAAAGAATTTACGAACTAGTTTTTTTAATGATTGAAATCTGTCGAAACTCCTCATATTATAAAAGTATATATATTTTTAATTGAAACTGAGAATCTATTTATTATATATATTTTCATGGTTAATTAAATTATGACAGCTCATAATAGAAAATTCTTTAAAGCTAATGAAGAATTTAATAAATTTATTTCTGAAATTATAAGGGAAAAAAATGAATTTGATAATAAGAAAGTTTCTAATAATAAAATTTCTAAAATGGTCAGATAAAAGAAGGAATTAGTACTGATTTTAACAATTAAAAGATGAGATAGTGGGTTTTTTTCATTGCTGGCCATGATCGTAAATAAACTTTCCTTTAAACATTATTTATTCTTAATAGTTAAACTTATTTAGTAATGATATGATGATGACAACAGCAACTAGCGTGTTTTGAAATGAACCATTGATACCTACAACGAATAAATTTCAATTTTGCAAATCAACTTAACTAAAAAGTAATACTTTATTTTTAGGAAATGAAATAACCGGGTGGGGGGGAAAAACAAAAGCATTGCACAGTTTTGATTTAGATATTGTAGTTAATTTATCATATGTAATTGAACCATATTTTTTAGTAAATATATTGATTATCGATTACATAAATGAAATATTATTTAATATGTTGTAATTCATAAAATCAGAATTTGAAAATATAACCAAAGTTGATTTTGCGCAAGTGATATGATAGTATAATTAAATGATTTATCTTTAAGAAAAAAGTGCATTATTATGGGTTCATTAACTCAAAAATCATAATATTATAGAATATTATTATACAATTGTTATTTGGCTTCTTTGCAAAAAAAAACATCCAAAAAGTCAAATATCGAATCTTATAGTAAAGATTAGTACATGCGAAAAATTGAAAAATTATCAGTGACACTATTAAAATATTAAAAATTGAGTTAATAACATAGTGTTGCATATAGTTCGGGTTGTTAAGAAATGTAAGATAGTTTATTATTAATATTAATTGAATCCAAAATAAATCAACATAAATAAGGCATTACCTCAGTCGTCAACGCATTATACAATCAAGATACGCGTAATTTATTTTATATTTTTATTATTATTACAAATAAAAGGAAAAGTGGATATTTGCTATACCACTATACTAATGCTATCTAATTATATTATCTAGGGAACATATTATTTTACTCAAGCAAAAGCCCACTTCTTTTTACTTAAAACCAAGTAAGGATTAATTGTCCAGGAGTCTTTTTGTCTACGAAACATAATTGTCTGATGACATATTATGGGATGAGTGCTGAAAAAAGTGACCAAATCAACAAATAATTTTTTTTGAAATAACAAATGATCATAATCAGATGACCAAATTTATATCTACTTTACTTAGAAACTTTTTTTTAAAAAAAAAATCAATTTGGTCCATTTTCATAGCACTCACCCATATTAGCCGGAAGACAATTTGGCTAGGAGATGATTTGGCCTACAATCTACAAAATTCGAACTCTATTCTGTAAAAAGATGTCATTTGATCATTAAATGTCAATTTCAAATGAAACACATTATTCGAAAATTATCATCATTTAAAACTTATATTAATATTAAAATGAAATGTAAATGGACGCGTATTAGTTGAATGTAGTGTTATAAGTGATTGAGGTTTACTAAATGAAATATGAAATATATGAGAATTATCAAAAGATCAGGTTGATTCATTTGAGAATTAATGTTCATATTATTTAAAAATAGATGCAAGGGATCTTTTCTTTACAGTATCATCTAAAGAAATGAAATAATCTGAATAAATTAATAAATAAACAATAATAAACATTGTTTAAAGTGAAAATTAGCTTCAAACAATCGTCATCATTGATTTCTAAAAGTTTATTAATGAAGTTGATTTTTTCATAAAATTTGCAATCGTAATCTTGGTCATCACCATCTTCATCATTTATTATACTTTTCTTCTGGAGCCGTTATTTGATTGTATATTTTTTTCCATATCATCATTATTTATTCGATTATTTTGCTTTTTCATTTAGTCAGATCAGAGTAAGAGGCATTGCTAGCATTTGTACTTCATTATCAAAACCAATCATTTAAAATGTTGAATTCATTTAGGAGAAGTCTTAATATATAATTTTGTATTATGAGTAATACTTTTCTTTTATGACTTTGGTTTCAAGGATAATTCTAATTTTTGATTTCGTGCGTTTTTATTTTTTAGATGTATTATGCGAAGAGTATATGAGAAAAATGTATACTACTGTAACTATGAAATGGAAGCTCATATTTGACGCAACATGATTTTTCGAGGAAATTTGAAAGGTAATAAATAGTGTTGCACGCAATTCGAAATGTTTATAGTTATAAACAATAGAAAAGGTAAGCTGAAGGTTAATAATAAATGAAATCTAACATAAATCTACGCAAATAAGGTTTTGCCTCAATTTTCAGCGCTCTATATGATCAGATACGTAATTTATTAATATTCTTTCGTTATCGTTACAAATAAAAGGAAAGGGAATATATGCTAATATTATCTATTGTTTTTATCTAGGGAATATATGGAACACTTTATCTTTTCTACTCAAGCGAAATCCCACCTCTTTTATATTTAAAATCCAGCAAAAACTAATCATTCAGAAGCCTTTTTATTCTCAAAACATAATGGCTGGATGGATGGCATATTGGCCAGGAGACGAATTGGCCTGCAGACAATTTGGCCAGGAGACAATTGGACCATCAATCTACAAAAGTCTAACTAAATACTAACAAAACTTAATTTTAAACTAAACAGAAATGGGACACAATGCCCTGAAACTAATAGAACACAATAGAACAATTATATTTATTTGTAACATATGCCTTCTTTAATTGTCGAGCATCTGCGAGATTAACAATCGTTCAAATTCTCTTTGTTTTTGTCGTCTAGCCTCTGGTATTAGATGTTTATAGAAATCATTCTCCTTTATATTGGTCAGATATGTTGGACTAATATATTTTACGAGATACAGACTCGAAACTCCTCTTGCTATGAATAAGTCATAGACTCATCGTACAATCTTCTTAATTTCTTTATATCTTCAGATAGAAAAATTTTCAAGAAGAATGTTCTTGTCTTCAAAGATCCATCCTCGTGAGGCTAATAATTCTTCCAAGTAATAAAATGTTTTGAGTCAATGTATATTAGATTGGATCCAAAATTTTTTTCTTTACTAGTTCAACCAGTATTTGTAATCGTATATCTTCTGGTTGTTATATATAATCAGGAAAAACTGTTATTTTCAGAGAAACCTGTTCAAGATCTTCCTTGCATTTCTCAAGGATTGATTCGTTCGACGATTCCCCTAATAATGACTGGGTAGTCATTAAATTTTGTCTATTGGTCTTTGAAATAATTACTGTAGAAGTGGAAATTTCAAGTTTTTCATCACTATCAGTCTCTTGCAACCAGATTTTCAAAAATTGACAGAAATTTGCTCTTAATTCCTTAGAGTAGTATTCCATTATTTGAAGAGAGGAAACCTTTTTAATTTTCAATTCAGGTGATGATATTTATAATTTTCGAGACAATAGATTTCGTGACTATTGGGATCTTCTTTTTTTGGTTTATAAGACATTTTACGATGATCTAGAATGGTACAACTTTAATCTATCGCTATTCACAGGGGCTTTTAATATTTTATTATCAGGGGTCTGTAGTTTATATGCCCTACTAGAGAGAACCTCATGTAAACAATATGGTCTCCTCCATTGTTCCTCTAGCTTCTTTCGCTAATGTATACCACTTTTGTATAACAAAACCATATCTCTAATTTTGAATGTTTGTGCCTCCTTTAATTTATTATTATAGCGTTGTTTTTTTTGTTGGGACTTTTCTATATTATTTTGTGCTTCAGTCCTATTATTATGTATTCTTTCAATAATATCATGTATCCTTTCTAAAAGACTTTTATACTGACTTACGGTACTTGATTATGCTCGTTGAGTTTGAACTTCAAATTCTATTAGCAAGGTAACCTCTCGTTCATATAATAGATAGAAAGGTTCGTATTGGATGGTATCATGTCTCTTTGTTCTATAGGCAAAAGAGCTGATGGTACATACAGATCCCAATCATCTTTGTTTTCTGATGCAAATTTCGCCAACGTTTCACATAATGTTCAGTTGAATTGTTCAACCAATCTGTTGGTCTGTGGGTGATATACCGTCGATAATTTATGTTTGACTCCTAATTCAACACACAAGGAGTTTAACATTTCATTGAAAAAGTGGGTTCCTCTATCAGTCAAAAATACCTTAAAACATCCATGTCAGCATATGATGTCTTTGTAGAAAAAAGACACAACAGATGATGCCTTTGCATTAGGAATAGCTTTAGCTTTAGGCCATTTTGTCAAATATTCTGTTGCAACTACGATATATGCTTCCCTCTTTCAGTCTTTGGCAAAGGTCCAACAATGTCCATTCCTATTCGATCAAAGGGTTGACTGACCTTTATGGAGTGTAATGGTTCCGTCCTTCTATTTACTCCCCTTTTTTGACATTCATCACATGTTTGAATGTATCATCTTACGTCATTATATATTTGAGGCCAGTAATAACAAATCTTTACTCGCCTAAATGTTTCTTCTAATGCAAAGTGCCCTGCTAATAGATCAGAATGTAGATTATAGAGCAATGTATCGACTTCATTTTCTTTTACAACTTTGTATAGCCTTTGTAGATCGATTCTATTTTCTTATATAATTGTCCATTAATTAAAATAAAATATTGAGATTTTCATTTTATCGTTTGTTGTGTTCTTTGTTGAGATATGTTAGCATGTCGAAATCCATTAAATATTGTATGAGTGAGAAGTATGTTCCTGAATCCATTATATCAATTTAGAATTATCTGTTAGTGTTATCTAAAAATAAGTTAAATCCAATTACGTTGTTTTAAATTTATTATATGTTAGTATTCTATTCAACTTAATGTATCTACGTTTGAGTGTTATTTGCCGGGTTGATTTATAATATCAAAGTTAAAGGAATTAAAGTTATAATCCATAGTCCAAGTTTGCCAACAGGATTTGCATTATTTTTCAAATACATCAAAGCTGAGTGATCAGTAACAACAACGAATTTTTATTTATGTAAATAGTGGTTAAAATATCAAATCGCCTAAACGACAGTGAGACATTCAAGTTCCGTAATCGTATAGTTTCTTTTATGCTTATTAAGAGTCCAACTAGCATATGCTATTACATGCTCTTTTGAATCTTTTCCTTTTTGCGCTAGAATTGCTCCCAAGGCGAATGTAGAAGCATCCGTATATAATATAGAAGCTTTATCAAATCTGGATATGCCAAAATAGGTGGAGTCATTAGATACTTCTTGAGTTTTTCAAAAGCATCATGTTGAGCCTTAGTCCATTGATAGGATACATTTTTCTTTAACAGCTAGTGTAAAGGTTCAACAATGGTGGAAAATCCTTTAATGAATTTTCGATAATATGAAGCCAAAGCTATGAATCCTCTAAGTTGGTTAAATCTTTAGGTATTGGAAATTCACTTATTATTTTTAGCTTTTCAGGATCTATTTGAATACCTTGTCCACTTATTACATGACCAAAAAATGGTAATTTCACCTTAAAGAAGAAACACTTTTCAGAACTCAATTTTAAACCGACGTTTCTTAACCTCAAGAAGACTTGTTCAAGATGTGAAAGGTATTCGTCGAAAGTCTTAAACCAATGTTGATGTCATCCACATACACAATTACATATTGTCACAAAATATCCCTTAAGACAGTATCCATTAATCATTGAAAAGTAGCGGGAGCATTATATAAGCCAAATGGCATCAAAGTAAACTCGTATGTTCTAAATCTCATTATGAAAGTAGTCTTTTCTCGGTCCTTTTCATCCAACTCGACTTGCCAGAAACCACTAGCAAGATCCAAAGAGGAAAACCAAGTTAAGCCGGACAATGTTTCCAATATGTCATCTATTCTTGGTAGTAGATAACAATACTTCTTCGTTACTGTATTTAATTTGTGATAATCGACACATAATCGCTTCTTTCCATTTTTCTTCTCTACAATGATAACGGGAGATGTCCAATGGCTACTGGAAGGTCTAATCAAACCATTTCCTATAATCGCTATATTTCTTCCTGAATAAATTTCTAATTTTGGAAAGAAGTTCGGTAGAACCTCTGCTTGATTGGCACAGTAGTTCCTGTATCAATCAAATGCTTAATCACTGATGTTTATCCAAATTCATTAGAATCTCAAACAAAAAGATCTCTATTTTTCTTCATAAATTCCTCAAATATTTCCTTTTGTTCCTTAGTTAAGTCTCCAACATGGAAACATCTATTATCAATTTCTTTATATTGGTGATAAGACTTCTTAGTAACATCATTTTTTAAAATCACTTGTTTAACGAGTTCATTTTCGATCTGTTCGGCCTCTTGTGTTATTATATACTGGTTGAAACAATACAGCTGCTCTTGCAAATCAGCCTCTTCTTTATATTCCTCATCACTACTTTCAATTATGTGTTCTGCTTCTTCAGTATCATCATCAGTAGCATTTATCTCATCTTTGATAATCTGATCATGCAGCATTTGATAACATTCTACCCTGACAACAATATCCTCATCATTCCAATATAATGCCAAAAGGCTTTTGCGATAATTTATGATGACTTGTGCTTCTTTTAGCCAATCGTTTCTAACAATGGCAGTATAAAAATCTGCTTTCGTGACAACTGCATCAAAAGGGATCACGTATTCAGAGATCTTTAAAGAAACACCTATGACGGTACCTAAGGGTCTTCTTTTTTCACTATTTACATTAACGATTATTGTTTTACATGCTCCTGTTATCTCCATATCCAGGTCTTTAAGCAACTTTAGGGAAATTATACATCCAGCAGAACCAGAATCAATTATTAACGGAATTTTCATATTTTTGATGTATGCATCACAATACAACGCTGTGGTTCTCTTTTCAGATTTATTCGCATAGTTGAATTCAATGTTCTCATTTTTTTCTTCCACAATAATTGGGTCTTTTGGCTTCTTTGCTATTTGCTTTCGTATTGCTTTTAATACAGCCTGTCTGAACTTAAGATTCATGGCTATTAACTGTCTATTGGTGATGCTGGAGGGTTGATCGAAAATTGTTGAGGTATATATGAATTAACCATATTATTTATAGGCGGAATCAAAGGGTTTTTTCTTTTAATGTTTTGGATTTTGTTTTAATCAGCACATTCTTATTGTCCTTTCATTGATTTGTCAACTATTATATTAATTTAATATCATCCTCTTTCTTTTCTATATCATTCTCGTTTTGGCCATAGGGAGTTTCTTGAGTATCTCTTGCTCATGTTCTAGTTGCTGGATAAGCTTCAAACAAGGATAAGTTCAAGGAAACAACTAATGGTTCCATACCATCACCCTTATGAGGTACACCATTTAGTTTAAATGTTGATCTTGCGTATTATCTTGTATTAATTGTGATAACAATTGTAACAACTGCAAATTTTTAAGATTGTTATTTCCTACTACCAGAGCAACGTTAACGGTTAATTGTATTGGGTGGGTAAGACTTGGTACGCTACTTCCTGTGGTTTGATTATGTTGATAATTTTGGCTATTACTAGAAACGTTAAAACCATTAGGACAATTTCTCTTTATATGTCCAGGTTGCTTACATAGGTAGCAAATAAGGTTATTCCGTTGAGAAGTTGTCGAAAGCGTGTTGTTTAGTTGATAATTTGACGATTTATGTATATCGTTATTTTTAAAGTTTCTTCTTCCAACATTCATCTGCTGGATTTGTTGAGCTAGACTAGCTATCGCTTCATTAAGGGCGTTAGTTTGTGTAGATGGTGTTGTAGTGCCATATTTATTCATATAGGCTGCAACGGAATTTTGGTCTTGATAGGTAAGTTCATATGCCTTTGGTCAATTAAGTGCAGCATCCCAAGTCTGGTCATTATGGTGTTTCACCATCAGATGTAGCTCAGGCAATAGTCCATTAACCAATCTATGAGCTTTTATTGCAGCTGGATATATAAATGCTGGAATTTCAATTCTCTTATATAGTTCTTGTAAAGCATACGTATAGGCGTCAACAGTCTCGTTAGATTGTTGATATCATCGTTCAAGCTCTGTAGCCCAAATTTCAACCAAGGTCTGTGATCAAAAAGCGGCATGGAAATTAGCAATAAAGTCAGTATTGTTATTATTTCTGTTCATGTATTAATTCTATTTGCATTATTAGCTGCTAGTGCTTGATTTGTCATCCACCAGGTAGAGGCTGGTCTCTTGAGGTAAGCTGATACCACTTCTAATTTTCTAGCATCAGCAATTCCATTTGCGTTATAGGCTTTTGTGAACTCTTCTAACCATCCAACGGGTTTTGATTTCCTCCGTAATAATTAGATATATCTATTACTCGAGCTTCTCTTCCAAGAGGATTTGCTAATGCATTCGCATGAGCCTACATTTGGGCTTGCAAATTTATAATGGCATTATTTGCATTTGGTGGTCCAGGGGGTTGTAAAACTTCTTGCAGAGCTTGTAAAGCTGTCGTTTAATTTTGAAGATCAACTGCTTAGGCGGCCATTAGATTTTCTTCTCTAAATAATTGCTCAAAATTTAGAGGTTCGGTATTAAATAATAAATTATTAAAATTTGGATCATTTAATATTTCAGGATTATCTAATCCAAAACTATCATCAGACAATACTGGAGATGTGGTTTCACTTGAAATATAGAGAACAGTAAATGGATCTAAAAGAAATCCTTGTATATTGATAAATGTATTATATAAGATTTGTCGAATTATTATATACAATTCTTTTGGACTTCTATGACATCTTATACTAAATATCAATTTAAAAATATTGGTCTAGGTTTCTTCTATTCCTCTAGTATAGAAAAGTTCCTCGAGATACTGTTGAGTATATCTCGAAAATTTCTCAGCAAGATATTCAACAGACCAGTTCCAAAAGTTCTGAAATCAGGCTGTTAATAGGAATTCAAAAGGGTAACAATATTCACAGGATCGATCTTAATGGTAAGTGATTATATTTCTTCAATGTAGTATCCGGTGATAATTATCGTGTGTATTATTTCGTTTAATATGAGTTTGAAATATACAAATAATTGATAATTTCCTTTTAATTTTCTGGTAGAAGACACCATGTGTTGCACGTAATTCGAAACATTTATAGTTATAAACAATAGAAAAGGTAAGCAGAAGGTTTATTTATTTAAGTGTCTTTATTAATAATAAATGAAATCTAATATAAATCTATGTAAATAAGGTATTGCCTTAATCTTTGCCGCTCTATATGATCAGATACGTAATTTATTAATATTCTTTCATTATCGTTACAAATAAAAGGAAAAGGGATATATACTAATGTTATCTATCATTTTTATCTAGAGAATATATGAAACACTTCATCTTTTCTACTCAAGCGAAATCCCACCTCTTTTATATTTAAAATCCAGCAAGAACTAATCGTTCAGAGGCCTTTTTATCTTCAAAACATAATGGCCAGATGGCATGTTAGCTAGGAGATGAATTGGCCTGCAGACAATTTGGCCAGGAGACAATTGGGTTATCGATCTACAAAAGTCTAACTAAATACTAACAAAACTTAATTTTAAACAAAACAGAAATGAGACACAATGCCCTGAAACTAATCGAACATGATAGAACAATTATATTTATTTGTAACAATAGCAACTTGATAAATACATTCTTTAGAAATATAACTTTGAGAGTTGAAATAATTTAAATTCATAGCTAACAATGTATTTTTAAAAGGAGAAGCTTTTTACCTTTTCAAAAAGTGAGATGACACGATTAAATATTCAATTATCACAGCATACAGTAAGCTACATGCTGCTACTTTTTTTTATTTTATTGCAAATTTTTTTTCATGTAACGCTAATGTTTTAACAAAGTATTTTCTTTGCCATTCTAAAAAATAATACCTTGAAAGAACTTTTTAGGCGCGAGTCAGCGATCAAGTAAAATAAACTTGAGCTTTTGAGCTTTATTTTAATAATTCACAAAGTTTTCTTTATTCTTTTCTATCATATATATCAAGTTAGGGAGAAATAATTGGATTATTATACACTTGTATTCATTCCTTCACAAATTATTAAAGAATTATAAAAAATATTTTTTTTTAAACAAAAAATTTGTTTTTAATAAATTTTAAGTATTTGACGCTTCGTAAAATACTCCAGTGTTTTTTTTTGCATTATTTAATTGTACAAATATTTGTGGGTTTTATTTTAATATTAAAAAAAAAAATTTATTTGCAAAATATTATCAATTTTAGCTTTTTTACCTGAGGCTGTAACGCTAATTTTTATTTTTAAATGTAAATAAAAAAAACACTGAAAAATTACAACTCAAGTTATTGCTTTCATCTAAATATTTGAAAGTATTAATGTTTTGAAATAGAAATCCTAGTTTAATAAAAAAGTATTTAATTATGTCATTATCCAACCATTATTTTACACGAATATTAACAGATAAAAAAAAAAAAAAACAAATAAAATAAAATTCGTAAAAAAAATTTACGATACATTCCTGTTTTAAATTATTTGACAAATGATATGACATTTGAGAAATAAAGATTGAATTGTTTATTATAATGTTAAAAATTAAACAATTATTATTAATCACTTTATGTTTATTTAATTATGTATGACTTAATATAAATCTAATTTTTTTTATTCTAATGTGTCTCTAACGAAAATAATAATTATTTAGTTAAATGACGTTATAGACAAGATTGAACAAGTAAACAAACTTTTTACACCATCCATTTCTTATGATACGTTTATGATCGCCCAGTTATTGCATGGTTGAGATATTGTTATGCAACTTGGAGTATATAATAAAATAGTTTAAATTTATCCAAATTTAAGATATGTTAATTCAAAAGCTTTAAATAATTAATGAATACTTTTAATCTTGGGTAACTTTTCTATCAAAATCGCTCATTGATACCCGAGGTGATCTAAGATTTAATGTCTTAAAAATACCAGAATGCCAATAATCAAAAATTATATAGAAATTTCTTTTTGATGTCATTTAAAACTTCAATATCTTTTATAGTAATACCGATAAATTTTGTATTAAAGCAAGACTTAAGGGATCATTGAAATATGAAATTTTATCACTAACTATAAATTGATCAACTACTTTATTTCATACTTATTCATTTTTAGGAAAAAAAGATTATAGAAAAGCATTGGATGAAAGAGAACAATATATAAAAAAGGAAGAAAGAAAAGAAGCTTTGATAAATTTTATTTTTCATTTTGTGATACTACTTACGTTGCGTCATGATCCAGTGATTATGTATGAAAATAAGAATACATTATTTGAAATCGGAATAATAATTTTAATTTTAACGCCTGTAAAACAAATTGAAAATGTTGGTATTGTTTTACCGTAATTTGCTAAAAAATGTAAATAATTCTTAGATTGTCCATATCAACGATCAATCATTAAAAGGGTATATTTTGCTAAAAAGTGTATTCATTCCAACAGAATGAATGAACTACTATATTATTATATGTCAAAGATCTATTTTTTTTTAATTTTTATACTTAATAAAAGATTGAATTAGTTTATATAATTTATATAAGATGCAATCATAAGAATAAGAAGTGAAGAATTATCCGGCTCCTTCCAAAACTATGTACTAAACTCATTAAAATACTTTCTTCCAAGTCTCGTCTTTTTATTTTTTCTCATCTAATAAAATATAGTGATAAATTAGTTATAAACAGAATTAAAGTTTTAATAATAATAAACCATTTTGCTTACTTTATTATAGCAATGTATCAAACTTTGAAACTTCTCCTGCAATGCTTCAACGAATACCTCGTCCTAAACTTCAAATTAATTTTCAACACAACTCCTTCCAAAAATTCATCCTCCCATTCCCAACAAGATCGTGATATTTTTTATTATTATTTTTCTTTCTTTAATAAGCAATTTCAATTGTTTATCTGTCCACATTTTTTTTTTTGCAAAATTATAATTAATTATTTGATAAAATAAAAAATTATTCTTCTTTTATATTCACAAA